TCCAATATTTGCATTTTGAGAAGGTGAATCGTGAGGATTTTACGTAAGCCACCATCTTACAGATATTTTAGTAAAGCTTAAAAAAAACATACAACCACTTTTCCCGCGTTATGCGTCGTCTACCAAACCTTTGTTCAGAGCCTAGCATAGCTTGGAAACTATTTGCTCGAGCATAGCGGTTGCCTGAACAGACTTTCAAAACCCGCCAAACGATGGGCGAAGATCATACAAATTTGATGAAGCAAGCTGAGAAATCCGCTATGCAAATTTATGAGACGAAATGGGAACAATAGCGAACTAGAGATATTCGCTTTGTCTTGTATACCATCTAAGCTAGTGGCATGGTAGTGTGTAAATAAGTAAAGTGCTGTTTTAGAGAATTAGCACTTAACAACCCAAGAGTATCATTCGGTACCGTTTTCATCCACGTGCACAGACAAAGGAAAGGAGAGCCAACCAACTGCAAGGCATCCAGGAACTCTGGCCTGGACCTGGACGGAATAGTCGACGTCGTCCTCCATTGTCGGAATCTCATGATCTTAAAAGGGAGTCCAGCAAATGAAAAAAAGTAATATTGAAGTATTGAAAATTGATAAATAAATATGACAAAAAAGTACCGACTGTATCTTGTGGCTACCAATGAGGACCCACGGAGAAAGCAGAAGATACTTTAAAGATCCAGTGTTATGAGAGTTTCCATAGCGTATCCGAATTTGATGATTTAACCATCAAACTTGACTTTCCCTCAACCTTCCCTCCTCAATTTGCCTCAACTTACCAAAGTAGAAAAGTATATATATTTTGGCCGCAGTCTTCCTTCACTGTATAAAAGTAGTTTGGGCTCATTTTTGCAACTTTGTCGTGTTGCCGGGGGGACATAGTTAGATGCACTTTGTCCGATGTCCTCTGCCATAGTAGTAATGATGAGTCCCAGAGTCGGACCATAGACTTGCTACATTGTCAGGCGTTTCGTCGGGAGCGTCAGTGATTTTTGCCATGCATTTATTAATTTTTTCTGTTATCATGTCTGGAGAGGCATTTCACTCAGTCTATACTCAAGAGACAAGGCGAGGGATCCCTAGCAAATAAAAGAATTAAGGAATCTTATTTTCGTATACTATGACTGAAACCCTGTGAAATGACTCAACCAGTAAAATAAGTAACGGATATTTGTAGCCCTGAGGGATATTCGGATAGGGCGTCCGAGTCTGATCAGCAATTTAAACAAATCGAGAGGGAAGTTGTCGAGAGAAACAAGTGGGTGTGATAAAGCCCCATTAAACTAGCCGAAAAGAATGCATCCCTCAAGGAATCGAAAATAAACAGGTTAGAAGTCAGGATATAGAGGGAGTAGGTAGAGGCAACAGGACAGGAGGAGGAGTGATATCACAACTGTTCACCAGGAAGTTGGTCAATGGATTTACTTCACTTGCTTCTTCGACGAGTTGTAGCTTAGTGCTAAGAGTGACAAGATTCACTGACGATGCCGGCAAAACGTCTGGGACAGATCAAAGCCCACATTAGTGCTCATAACTACTATTGCAGAGGACTTCGTACAAGGCGCCCCCAACTAGGTCGCCTTGACAGCACTACCAAGTTGCAAAAACGAGGTCAAACCGC